TATTATTACACTTTATTTTAAAAGTTGCTTAATTTCAAATGTAGGAATTTAGCAATGTAAGCTATTTCAGTTTACAGGATAGAATGTTTTGATATTCTATTCTAATGTGAAATGTCCTGCAAAACTGAACTACAGCTTTTACATTGGATTTAATGAGAAAATCTGATTTGCTTAATTATATTTTGTTTGAAATGGCAGCTACAATGTTAAGTGAGGAGACTTGTTGGTTGACAACACGAGAACTGCTTCCACTTAATTCCAATACAGTTCTAAGTGTATAATTGCCAACTGGTTCTAGTTGACCTAACTGACATGTTAAAAACCGAAAAAAAACTGCAGATGTTATAAATCAGGAACAAAGACAGAAGTTGCTGGAAAAGCTCAGCAGGTCTGACAGCATGTGTGAAGAGCGTTCTGAGGAAGCGTCGCCAGACCTGAAACGTAAACTCTGATTTTTCTTCACAGATGTTGCCAGACCTGCTGAGCTTTACCAGGAACTTCTGTTTTTTGTAACTTACATGTTAACCAGTTCCACTAAATTGTTTTGCTGTAATATTAGTTTCCCACATCAACCATTCCTGCTTATCGGAGAGATTGCCAATCCAGTATCATGTTGAGCTCAATTCTGACAACTTTGTCTTGACCTCATTCTTAGTGTATACAGGACAAGGCGGTTGGGGAGACAGTGGAGTAGTTGATAATACCATTCGGCCAGTAATCAGAGACCCAGGCTAATTTTCTGGGGTGTGAGTTCAAACGGTAGCTGCAATCTGGAATTGAAAGGTAGTCTTGTAATGTCGACCATGAAACTACCGTTGATTGCAATGGTCCCTGCCTTAGCCACTCAAAGCATGCAATGGTTCAAGAGTCCTGTGTAAATACACTTCAGTAATATTTAGCCTTGTTCTCTTAACTTTGCATTGATGAATCCTAGTCACTAAGAAATATTTTCTTCCCTGACTGATTTCATCAATATCTTCTTTTAAAACCCACTTTTAAACTTCCTTGCTTCCTCCACACCAGTGGAAATAGTTCTCTCATCACGTCTATGGATTCTCACCTTCCGTAATTCTACATTGCATAGTCTGTTGCAGCTTTCATGCAGTTTCTGTAATTGGGTACCCAAGATTGCTCATTGGTTACACTCCGTCAAAAGTACAGCATTTTATTTAAATCCGTTATTACGGCTGTAACTATTTGTAAAACCAGAATTCTATTAATGTTTTTGTTGCCTTTGTTTATCAATGCTATCAATTTTCTGATAGATGTGAAATGAATCTTTGGGTGCTTTACAGTGTCATCTTTAAGTGTACATTCCTGTTCCTTGTTTTCTTCTCACAGAATGTATTGTCATGCATTATCTTTATTAAATTATGGCTGTGCATTCCACCAACTTGACTACATATTCCAAAAGTTCACTGTTTACTAGCTCCTGAATTTCTGTATCTTTAAGTAGTGAGGAAATAAAGTGGACTCCTTGGTGACCCCTTCCAGTCAGATCAAAGTCTATAAATCTGAAATCTGTCTTTCCTTGCTGTCTAGCAATTTTCTATTTCTTTGGTTTTTCTTCTTAAACTGTACTACTGGATAGATTTTTTATACTTGAGAAAAGCAGCAGTCTTACAAGTATTACTCTATGGGGGAAAACCTGTGACGTGAAGAACAAATAGCAGGTAGAAGCAGCATGAGAAATCCAACAGCACACAGGCCGTGCTAACATGCATGGTTTGCTTAGTGCTGTCAAGATGACTTGTTGGTAAAACACCTGATTGCCCATCCTGCTGAGAGCCAAATGGGGGGTGGCAGTCCATGCTTTCTGGAAAGAACATTAGGAAGGCACCAAACATACTGGGAGACTTTGGGTTCACGCAAGTCAAGTCCAGGCATCACAAGAGAGTGTACAAACTTCCAAACACCTTATTTCCTCAATCCTTCAGGTAGCACCTGCCCCACATGTGACAGATTTTGCAGTTCACGCATTTGCTCCAAAATGGCTAATGAACCCAATCTGATAGGAGTGAAAGTAAGTTATCCATGATCCCAAGGGACTGCTTAAGCTGGAGGAGGCTATAGATATCTAGTTGGGATATTTAGACAATTGAAATTAGTCTCCTAAACTATCTAGGGTTGATTTGACCTTTATCATATTTATTCTGAATGCCCTATAAAAGGTCTAGCAGCATCTGTGGAGAAAAGCAGATTTAATCTTTCAGGTCAGTGTTTATTTTAATTGTACGTGGTTTCATCTCTCGGTATGAAAAATGTATGGAACAAAAGGGTATAAAGAGAGAATAGTGCATTACAAACTAAAGAATAGTGTATATGAGATAGTAGGAACTGCAGATGTTTGAGAATCTGAAGTGGGCTCATAT